GACGCGCCCCGACGGCCCCGCCTCCTCCCGGCGGCGCTCCCAAGCGTGACAGTCTTGGTCCGTTGCGGCAGCGCGGGGGAAAGGCGGGCTGGGAGCGGGCCGCCACGGGGTCGGGATGGAGGCGGCTGGAGCGCGGAGCAGGGACGTGTTGGGGCGAGTGGCGAGTCTGCCTGGTGGCTGCGCAGAAAAAGTCCCTCCGGAGAGGTGCGTTCCTTGGGGGGAAGGCGGGGGAAGCGGTCGGCCCCCTGCTCCAGGAAAAGCCTTCCGGGCGCCGCGGGGCGAGGTCGGACGGAGTCAGCCGGCCGATCGTCACTCCCCGACGGAGGGGGCAGCCAGCAGGTGGTCATTCTCCGGGGGAGGGCTCTTCCCGGAGAGGAGGCAACAGCTGGCGGGTCACTCGTGGGTATGAGGGGTCCGCGCGGGGATGCAGCCCTGTCGGGTAGTCCGTGCGAGAAGCCTAAATCAGGGATGCGCGCTGGGAGGCCTGGGAAAGGTTCCGGGGAGGTGACACTTGGGCCGAAAGCTGTAAGACCTCCAGGAGTCAGCCGCACAAGTTCTGGGGACGAGCGCACCGGGAAGAGGGAATGGCAGCAAAGGCCCCTAGCGCAGAAACGAGCCTGCGGGGTCTGGGGCAGCGAGGACTGGAGAGGAGGGGCGTGGTGGAGCCACTGTGCGCGAGCAGAGCCGCAGAGCCCTGGAAGGACTTCGGGATTTATTCTAAGAGTGATGGGGGTCTTGGAGATTTGAACAGGGGAGTGATGTAATTTCATTACATTACAAATTATTTTATATTTTAAAGGAATCTTTCTGGCTGCTTTTGTAGAGTAGGGGCGTGGGTGATGCAGGAGCGGGGAATCTAGTCTGGAATGTTGTGTAATGATCCAGGAGGGAGAGGTAGTGTGGCCGAGTGGTGGCAGGAGAAGTGGATGTACCGTGACAAGCCCTGCAGGACTGGCTGGTGCTCCACAGTAGGGGAGAAGAGGGATTCTGAAGAATGCTCCCAGGCTACTGGCCTGAGCAACTGGAGATGAAGATGGGGAGGCACTTCCAGTCCATACTGCTGCTGCAGCCTGCTGGAACCTTCCCCTGGGGGTGGGGGAAATGCACTGTCTTGTTTGAGAGCCTTTGCCCTCAATCCAGGAATGTGTTAAATACTTCTGTGGGGAGTGTGGGAGATAAGTAATCCTCTCTACCTGCATAGGAAGAATGGGTGTGTGTCTTTGAAATTTGGGTCCAGGCCTAAAGCTGACATTTCTTTCATTAGACATTCTACTTTGGTTGGGACTGAGAAAGGGGAGCTGGGAAAATGTACTGGGTGGGAAGAAATTCATGATGCCTTTTAATATTTTGGTTAGCTTTCCCATTCAGTATTGATAGCATTTTAAGGAAATAGCAGTAATGGGGGCAGAATCATCTGTAAAGTGTTCATCTAACATTCAGGCTGTGAATTAGCTCAGCCAAGCATCAGATTGAAGAGATGGGATCACTAAGCACTGTAGTTTGAAGAACTTTGGGATATTTACAGGAAGTGAGGGCAGAGTTAGGGGCACATGCAGATTTAAGGACCAGGGGATTCCTGGCCAAGGATAGCTGGTCAGACTTCCCAAGCCTCAAATCCTCGTACTTGGGTATCTCAAAGACAAGATGCTGCATTAAAACACTCCATGGGTTTAAAAAAAAAAAAGAAAAGAACAAAACCCTGTGTTTTAACAGCAATGGTTGGTAATTGTGTTAGAATTTTCATGTGGATTGGTTTAAACACTATTGTGGATTTAACAGTGGGGTAAAATAATTCACAGTTTCCGGTAGGTCTATCTGCTGTATATATTCATGAAAGTTTCTGAAGGGTTTTGATACTGGTAAAGAGATGTACAGTTAAATTTTACTTATGAGGGGTCTTTCGAGGGCTGTGCATTTTATGTGACATTTACTTGGTCACCTTACAAATCAAGCTTCTGCTGTTCTCAGTTTTGGCAACAGAGCTGTAAGGAAAACAGGAGCTCATGGAGCTGCTGTTCTGTGTCTTTTTGCTGAGACAGAATCAACAAGGAGCTAGTCTAGTGTACTGGGTGATGAGATGCTGGGGGAAGCAGGAGGGCATTAGACACGGAGCCCTGGGAAGGAGGGCATGGGGGCTGCAAGTTTATTTAGAGCCCATGGTTGCCTCAGAAGGTCAAGTTAGAGCAAAAACCTGAAAAGTCAGTGGGGATGGAGGGCGTGGGCATTCTAGGCAAAGAAAAACCCATAGTGCACCGGGAGAGAAGCCAGCCTGCCCCCGGAGACTGCAGCATGCGGGAAGCAGAGGAGGGAGCAGAGGGCGCCCAGATCACCAGAGCCTCAGGGTCAGGCAGAAGCTGCAGGGAAATAAAGGAAAACTCCCGGTGAATTTAAAAAGCCAAGCCAGGAAAAAGCCCTCAGGAATGTCAGGCTCCTGGGCCAGCAAGGGTCCCCTCCGTCCAGCAGGAGGCGCTGCGGCAGGGTCGCGAAGGTGGGCTCCGTGAAGGTGGGCTCCGCGAAGGGCGCAAACAAGTTCTGAAAGCCAAGCGGACGGTCCCCTGCCAGTGATAAAGCGAACTGGCAAATACTAGTTGTTGGGAATCATGCACACGTTTTCCCTAAGAGGTGAAGATGCGGGGATTTCGGAGCACAGCTTGTAGAAGCCCGCGCGGTGTCCGTGCGGAGACGCCGCCGCCGCAGACATCACTTGCTCCTGTTGGTGCGATGCGCCGAGCGCGGCCGTTCATCTTATTTTCCTTAATAGGCACGTCTTTGTTTTCTTTCCGCCAGGAAAGTTTATATGGACTATAACGCAACCACCCCCCTGGAGCCAGAAGTGATGGAGGCCATGACCGAGGCGATGCGTGACGCCTGGGGAAACCCCAGCAGCCCCTACCCCGCAGGTAATCCGGGGAGGCACCCTATCGGAGATACGGGGGCACAGGTGCTCCTGGAGAAATTGGACACCGCCTGTGATCACTTGGTTTTGAATCGATTTTCTGTGAACTGCAGATCTTTACCTGTAATTTGGGGGAATTTTTTTCTGAGAAGTCCAAATTTGCACGTGGAGCCTCGGTGACACCATGATCTTTCACCTCTAACGTGGTCTCCAGCCCCCTTTCCCAGACAAAGAAGTCTTAAAGAGAGTTATTTTTGCTGGGGGAGAGGGTGTCACTCAGGGGTAGAGCAGGTGCTTAGCATGCAGGAGGTCCTGGGTTCAACCCCTAGCACCTCCATTAAATAAGTAAATACATAAATAAATAACTTCACCCCCCAAAAAAAATTTTTTTAAAGTTATTTCTGAGGTGAGTGTGATAACCACTACACAGTGGAAACACATCTGTTGAAACCTAGCGTGTTTGTCTCAGTCGATCCTTACAGAATTTGCAAAACAGATCTTTTAAATCATCAGGATCACATAAAATTCTGGCCTTTTTTTAAAAAAATAAAAATTACTTAAAAATTCTTTAGCTATCATTATAAATGTTCTTATTTGTTTCTCATTTATTTTTGTTCTAATGTGGAGCATTAAATTGGAGGTTTTGGAAAATAACTTGCTTCCAATCATTATTTACGTGACAGAGTCATGTTAGGTTTTTTAGGTGGGGGGCTGAAGTTGTACCTTATCTAATGTTTTATCAGGGATAATTAAGATAAACTATCTTAACTATGGGTCATGATGAACCAAAATAACTTTCACACAGACCACTGCCACGCCCTGGGGTTTAGCAGCGCCTGTGTACAGGTTTACAGGCTCTGTGGGTTTTCATGCTCAGTTGTTTACTAAAAGCTTCACAGCCTGGTAACTAAAAGCTTCTTTGCACTCGGGCGCTAGTCATTCCTTGGCTTCTTTGCTGGTTTGCATTGTGCATGTTTGCTGGCTCATCTGGTCATTGCCTTGTGTCTGACTTTCCTCCAGTGAAGCTGAACTTCATGGTGCATAAACCTGGATAACAATTAAATGCTAATAAAAAGCATTTCTCCTGAGGAAGCTTGGGAACACCCTTGGGGGTAACAGCGCTTCCTGACCTGGTGAGGCCAGTCAGCGGCCTTCAGGTTTCCTCCACAGCCTTGGTTTCCACAAGTTAAGGACCAAAACTAAAAAGTGTGCTGCCCTTCACTCTCTGTTGACATTGAGGTAGAAATGGGGGGAAAAAGGAAGGAAGAAAAAGAAAATCATCTCTGTGATAGAATGGTTTAATCATTTTCACAATATTGTGGTTTAATAATGATAATAATTCCCTGGAGGGGACTCTGTTTTCAGGAAAGTGTGAAGGATATGTGGAAAGAGCTTAGAAACCCACAGCCCAAGAGCACGGCAGGGTTGGTGGAGCTGGGAGCCTCCTGGGAGAATATTCCAGCTGAGGCCTCGGCCCTGCGGGGGCTGGAGGGAGGAGGTGGGGTCAGACCCTGGATAGTTCAGACTGCAGACCCTGCAGGTTTGCTGGTGGCTTGGGTAATGGGGCAGGAGAAGACAGGGGCCTTTCCTGGGCCCCTGGAAGGGGTGAGTCACCATGTCCTTGGGAGAAAGAACCAGCAGAGAGAGGAGCCAGTGAGGGGAGAAGTCAGGATGTGTGGACATGCAGGCGGAGTGAGCCATGTCTGGAAGGAGGTCTGGGTTGGAAATGTGGGCCTTGTCAGCATGGAAGTGGGGTTCAGAGGGAGGGAGGGAGGAGTCTGCGGACTGGCCAGGGGACACGGCCAGCTGCCTGCAGTCTGGACCTGGAGCCCGGCCCGGGAGGGAGTGGGCCTGGGGAGAGCTGCTGCCGGGGCAGGAGGTGGGGACCGGGGTTAGCCACGCAGGTACCTTGCTAAGAGTAGGTCTGGGGGCCGCGTGGCCTAAACACACTATTGCAGTGGGTTCAGGAGGGGACTGGGTTCGTGGGCCGCTGCTTGCTTTCTTCTTGGGTAAACAGCATTTACCGTAAATAGGCAGGCACAGAAAGGCGGTGTCATATGGCAGTTGTTTGACTTAAGGAACTGCTGTCCACCCTCCAAAGTAGGGGCCCCATGCCCCCCCACCCCACGCTGTGCGTGAGGCCGCAGTGCCTGCGCGCCCCCCGGACACCCTGAACGGCCAGTCTTTTCACGTCAGCCGTTGGTGGGGGGCCCCAGGAGACCTTACTTAGGGTCTCCAAGACTTGTCAATAGGTGGAAGGGAAGCTTTTGCACACCAGTGTGTAAATTCTGAAACCCGTCTTTGGAAAGGAGAAAGCAAGCCCTGTGAGGCGCTTCTGCGAAGGTCTGAGAGCTGTGGGAAGGGGCCGGGCTTTTTCCCAGCTGTTGCCCCGGGCAGGGCGGCGGGGCAGAGACGGTGCCGCTGCTTTGGGCTCAGCCCAGAGGCTTCTCGGAGGCGGTTTCTCGACGGAACCCTAGGGGGAGCGTGGGGGCGGAGCTGGTGGGCGGGGTTTGGGCGGCCTCGGGCGGGGCCGGCGGCCGTGCCGCCCCCGGGACTGATGGGCCGAGGTCCTTGAGCGGCTCCCTCGTTGAATTGACTAGGTTTTCCTAAACACCACAGACCTTCGTTGCTTGTAATTAAAATCTACACAACAGTGTTAAGGAGCGTATGG